TCTTCTCTTTTCCTCTCTCCTTCTCTTGTCTCTTCTCCCTCTTCTCTTTGGCTCGCTTTTCTTCCTCTACCTTCCTCCTTTCTCTGCTTCTCTCCTTTCGTCTCCCCTTATGCTTTTTCTCATCTCCTTTCTTCTTTAATTTCTCCTGTCATTCCTTATCCTTTCTCTCACCTTCTGTCTTCACTTCTCTTCTCTTCTCTTCTCTTATTTCCTTTTCTCCTCTGCTTTTATCTCCACTGTTTTTCTATCCTTTTCTTCCTTCTCTTTTCCTCTCCTCTCTTCTTCCCTCCACTCTGCTCTTCTATATCCCCCTCCTATTTTTTCTTTCTGTTCTCTTCTCTTCTCCCCTCCTCCATTCTGTTCTGTTCTGTTCTGTTCTGTTCTCTTCTCTTCTCTTATCTTCTCTTCCTTGCTTTTTTTTCTATTCATGTCCCATTTCTCTTTTCCTTTTTGTGCTTTTAAACATGCAGTAGAAAGATCCATCACATACACACACACACACACACACACACACGTACACAAACACACACACACACACACACACACACACACACACACACACACATACACACACACACATACACACAGTGAGTTCAGGCAGTTCACTGGATTTTAATCTGATCTTTACTGAGCGCTGAAGGGGAACTGATTCCTTACATTACTGCAGTAATCTATACACACACACACACATCACAGATCGGTTTCACACCGTTTTGAATTTTGGTCCAAACTGAAGACCTAGCTCTAATAGTCACGGATCAACACTGCGGAGAATAGTATGTAATTCTAAAGTCTAAATTCTAAATGTTTGTGTAAAGCATCTGAAATGAGAATGTGTGTGTGTGTGTGTGTGTGTGTGTGTGTGTGTTTGTGTTCTGCTTGTCAAACAGCTGAGGTGTGTAGAGCAGTAATGAGAGTGTGTCCCAGTGGAAACTCAGTAATGGAACGTAAACAGAGCAGATAGAGATGAAATCTATACTTTCTCTCTCTCTCTCACACACACACTCACCCACACACACACACACACACACACACACACACCTCCTGCACCCAATTGTAATTACAGTCTCTCACACTTGCGCATACACACCTTTCAGAAGAAACACACATTTACGTGTAGCTTCTTCCCTATTGACCAAATCACACACACACACACACACACACACACACAGACACACACACACACACACACACACACACACACACTGCACATTGGCTCTAAATGTGGGAGTACAATTAGGAAGAGACATGCTGGGTAATAGAGTCATAAATAGAGTGAGAGAGTGTAACGATAAAGCCAAGGTCTACACACACACACACACAGCATGCCTCTGGTCATGGCCACTTTTGATAAAACACCCCAAGTTTGTTCCTTTGGCAAAATTCACACACACACACAGACACACACACACACACACACACACTCATGCAAACATGATGCATCACACTTATTACATAATCACAATTATTTGAGATGATTGACTCTCTCAGACAGTTTTTTATTGTCTACACTTGTAACAGCAAAGCAGAGTGAACCACAGCTGAAATCAAACCTGTACTGTGGTGTTTGGATCTGTAGGCCGTGAGATGACTAGGCTAAAGGCGCCCGTTAGCATTAGCCTAGCTAGGATGCTACAGATCCAAACATCATAGAACAAGTTTAATTTCGATCCCTCCACCAACCACTCGACTTTGCTTTGTCATATTTGAGTCATTATCATCAAACCCTGCATCAGTGTAGCTTCCGTTAGTCAGAATTGCAGAGGTGGGAACAAGTTACTGTGTTGCAAGTAACAAATAAGTCTCAAGTCTTGACACTCAAGTCCCAAGTCAAGTCCCAAGTCAAGATAGTTGCGAGTCAGTACAGGCGGGTCTCAAGTCAAGTCCCAAGTCAATAGTCCTAATCTTCGAGTCCTATACAAGTCAGTCTGCATTCTTCACTAATTTAAGGCCATAACATTGAATAAAGGTAACAGTAATACAGCCTTTAACGACATGTTAGCAGTGCTAGCAGTGTGTGGTTGTATATTAAATTTTCATTAATTTTGTTTTTTACCCTTCCAATAAAATCCATGGTACACAGAAAACCACACTCTTAAAAAAGGTTGGTTTTTCAAGGGTTAGAATAGTTCTAAAAACACTCAAAGAACCCTTATATGCCTCATATGACTCGAGTCCACACCTCTGCAGAATTGTATGTGTTCTATGGTGAGAAGAGCTGGTAGAAGAGTTAGAAAGCCTGCTTAACATTCAGCCGTTTTTGGTGGATTGAAAAGATAATACTCAGAACTGTTCAGGCCTACAGTGGAAAAGAGGCCATAGAGAGTTTTTGGCCGTGTTATCCCGCTTTCCCCAAGCTGCTCCTTGCTTGTTACATGCTTTGATGTACTGCACGTAGTTAAGAGGTCACGCTCAAAATTACACAATTACCAAAGAGCCCCGTGAAAGTAAACAGGGATTTTACAGTTTCACACTGTTTCCAAATGCACTTCCTTGCTAGAAGAACCAGGATAGACCAGCATGCCTGGTCACTAGCAAAGCCAACTTAGAACATCATGGAATACAAAACAAAGCTCAGCTCAAACCACCTGCTGAAAATGAATGTGTTTCCAAATAAAAGGTCTTATTTTGTCAAGATAATTATGTATTATGCTGAAATAATCAACAAATAACTTTTTTTTTTTTACTTTTTCATCATTATTTTTGACTTAATGAGTCACAGTTTGAACCTGAAACAGATGGATATGAAGTCTTTATTTCACCTACCTTGTAAAAAAGGTCTATTAATTAAACACATTTACTATATAGTGCAGGTCATATATTAATTACGAGGAATGACTGTAAAATCCACTTGACCATATCTAAAGCAGGGGTGTCCAAGCTTTTTTCAAGGGGGTCCAAATCGCATCATGTCAAAATACCAGGGGACAAAAGTATTAATCACAAATGATTCAAAATATTACGTTTTCAAAATATCAGTGCATAGAATCTGAGCTTTCTGTATGCTAGCTTGTTTCCTATCACTGCATAAAAGATGCACAAGCCTTCTTTTGTTGTTGGATTGCCCAGAGCATTTTGAATCAGTAAGCGCTAAGAACAAACAATTAAAGTGTTTAAGAGTAACAACAATAAATGTCTAATGTATTAAGTATATTCCTATTTAAGTATTTACTTAAATACTTTAAAATATAAAATATAAAAAATATAATTTGTCAGACAAACAAAACAAAAATCTATTAATTGTTTCATTTTGTTAGATAATGTTTTTTACATATTAAATGCAGCAAATGCTTTTAGAAATCACTTTATTAAACAGCATCAATTGCTAAGGTTTTGTTCACCCTTATATGGTTAACATGTACTGAACTACTGGATTTGCTCTGATAAGAAGACAGCTTGCAGTTTCTCTGCCCTCTTCTCACATTAATATTTATTGTAATGTCCATGCTTTATTTCATGTCTGTTGATATTAAAATGATTGCAATCTTTTGACATATGAAGCACACATATTCGCTGTGGATTTGATGGAAAAAGTATTCAATTTACCATCTCGCCAAAAACACTGGTTCTCAGTGTAAGTTTGTGCTTTATAAGAGTTGTCTTGACTAAAGGACATGCAGTAAATTAAGCTGATGGTCTAGTGAGAGAAGAAAGGCCTTTAAACTTAACTTTAACTTTGTTACCGCAGTGCGATGCATTACGCTGTGATTTTACGGTGATACTGCCACCATCAAACTGCTATGTACTGGCTGGCGTACCACTTATAACGCACTCTTAAACAGAAGCTGGGGCAAATTAAAAATCTGTCCGCGGCCAATATTTGGCCCTGGAGCTGGACTTTGGACATCCCTGACCTAAAGGGTTAGCAAACAGATGTAGTAAAAACCTTTGCAGGTATTTTTCTTACTTAACCAAAATACAAAATACAACAGAGAGAAAAATCAGATTACAAAGGAAGGCACGGTGTCCTCAAACTTTTGGCAGGCAGTGAATTTCAGAATGGAGGTCAGGCCGCGCTTGTGTAGATCTTCCCGTTCTGATGCCACTTCTGGGAACGAGGAGAAAATAAACTGAAAAACCTATTTTTTTCAGGTGATGATTTGCCGGAATCCCAGGGTGAATCTGGTTCACTGCGTAGCCTCGTTTCACTCGCTGTCTCTTCTTGTTTTCACAACTTTGATGTGTGTTTTTTGTAATACTACTAACTTCAATGGATGACACTGGATGAATGACATAGCTGTGTATTTTCAGTATGTGTTGTTGTGTTTGTTTAATAATTTAGCTCTTATAGGCTGGAGAAATATCATACACACTGTGCAAAAGTCAGAGACCACCCTTCGTTTATTTAAATTCCAGTCAAAACAGCCATTACAAGTTATTCAGTTTTCAATGTCAGAAAATAAGCAGAAAGTACTGAAAGTACAGAAGTTACTGGAAGCCTCAACAACTAAATATAATATGCGATTGTTTAGTGTTTTAGTGTGTGCACTCTTTGCCTTTGTTACAGCTTCCATGCTTTTCAGGAGTCTCGTTTTCAGTTTTTCAAAGAATTTATTTGTTCTTTCTTTATAATAACAACATTTACAGTACAGGTCAGGAACTTAAGTGAAAATGGAACACTAACAGTCACTGTGGTGTACAAAACAGTTTTTTTAAAAGAATCTGCAGGGATATTTTCTCAGAGTTCAGTGGTTTCTGATATCTATAATAATGCACACAAGCATGTTGCAGAGTATTCTTGAAAAACAGTAGTGCTGAAGCTTGAGTTTTGTCCATACTTGGTCCATTTTCGTCCATGTTCCAGTGCAAAAGTAAAGAAACAAACACCAAACATGTCTTCATAATCAACTACATTTGGGATACGTGAGAAAAAGCATACATTAGATGTTTTGCCAAATCAATTAGCACGGGCCATTCATTCTAAAATTCTGAACATTACCTTCACATGGCAGAGGACCGGTCACCTGTGAATTTTAAAGTCTTTTCTTCTGCTGTTTTAGGGATTTTGCGTACGTGGCTCGGGATAAGAACACGCGTGTGCTGAAATGTCACGTGTTCCAATGTGACAGTCCTGCAGAAGCTATTGCTGCCAGCCTGCACCAGATCTGCTCTAAGGTGAGACCTTCTGATATTGTGGCACCATAGAACATAAGAAAAAGTGTTGCATTGAATTTGTTTGTTTCAAATGTAACAACAGTTCTTGCCAAAAAACAAAAGCTGCGTTCCAAAGCCTCGGGTGCATTTCTCGGCCGATACGTCATAGAAGGCTATTCCAAAGTGAAGGACCCTTTATATACAGCCTAAAAATGCAGCCTACGTTCTGAGCGATTATGAGGACGCAACAGATGCATCCTTCCAGGCCTTAAGTTACCCACAGTTCTCTGTGCTCAAATGATGTGAAGGAAAAAAAAACAGCACCACAAAAATGATATGAAATGAAGCCGCTGGAGCAGAGCTTGTTTTAAAATGTAAGTTGTTCACATCCATGAATTCGTCTTCGTTACCTTATAAAGTATAAAATGACTGATTAATTAAAATATTCGTCCATATATCATATTTTATTTTGAAGTATTTGTGTATATGTAGTTTATTGTACTACATAAGAACATTTCCTCCGTTTCCGTGAGAGATGAAAAAACTCAATTTTTACTCACCAGTTCCCTCACAAGTTTTGCGCCGCAATTACAAGAGGCGGGACCTTTCTGGTGACATCGCTATGCAGCCTCATTAGGATGGTCCCATAGGTGTGACTAAGGAGGAGTCTTCATAGGACAGTCCTACCGAGGACCTGCCCTACCTCGGCTGTAGCCTTTGCTTTGGAACACAGCTAAAATTGTGTTGATCTAATATAATTTATTCATGTGTCGTGTGTATTTGCATAATGCATGCTGGGTATTGTAGTGTGAAGAAAAAAATGGGTGAAATTCCCTTTTGGGGGTCTTACTGAACATAATGCGAATAAAAGACTTTTTTAAACATTTAATTCACTTTATATCTGTTCAAATACTGCACGAGTCAGCCTATGAGTCATTATCCAGCTACAAATATTGAAAGAATTAAGCAGAAGCTGCCTCTATGTGGGTAAAACAGACAAAACTGCTTTTGGCATCTTATTTTGTGTGTATAGTGACATTAGGGGTCTTTGTCAGATGAACTGATGGCCGCTTACCTACATACTGACATGCTTGTGAAGGTGTTTGCTGAACAGATAATGTCAGTTCAGTTGAGATATTTTGTAAGGAACGAATAGTAAGTGATGAGGCACCATATCTCTAATGCTCAGGGGTACCAAAGGGTCTTAATCTGGCCCTGGCTAGCACCACATGTGACGAATCAGAAGACAAACCAAACCTTTTAATGCTTGTCAAAAAGATTTATCGAAAGATAGTTAGCTTGGCTGTTGCCATGCCAACAAGAAAGACAACAGTGATTAGTCAAGTTTGTTCATATTGCCTGTGAAAGTTTGCAAAAATGAAACAGAAAGTGATGATATTGCATTTTCGCGGCATTAAAAATCACAGTTGGTGTAAGTTTGCACATATTTGAATTCATTTATTGACGCCTGTGCAAGTTGCATCATGTGTAATGATGCTTTGCTGTGTAAACTGAAATTACAGCAGTGTTACTGTAAATTACAACGAATGGCTGTGAACTCTGCTGCCAGTTGTTTACTATAAAATTCACAGCATTTTTGTGGTATTTCAGTATTTACAAAGACATGATGATGTTATTTGAGTTAAAATGGTCTTTTTAAATAACTGTTACTGTTAGTCTAATAAGGTGTGCAGATACTCAGAAGACAAACCACATTTTTTTCACATGCATCCTTTTTCTTTCTTTCTGTTCTGTCTATTCCACACCCACAAATCAGCTCTGTTGTCCTTGTCTTTGAAGAATTTTTAATAGTAACCGAATTAAGGTCTTTTTTGGGACTCTGGCTTCCACACCTGTCCTGACACTCGTCCACTCCAGGCTACTCTCTCTTTCTCTGGGCAGTGTGAAGAGCTGTCCCCGGGGCGGCTCAGAGGAAAGTGCGAAGGTGTGAGAGTGGATCTGAGTCACGCGACTGGGATTCACTACACGCTACAACTCCACTGAGTCTATTATCACTCCAAATAGGATGCAGACGAGACAGCCTGTACATCTCTGCCCAAACAAGCTAGTTTAGGCCTAGCTTTAAAGCAACTGTTCAGCGAAAGATTCGAATGTACTCCTTGCCCCTTACTCCAAATGTGATCGAGCAGTCAAGACATGTTTTGTGTCTGAAGTTTGCTTCTTTAGATTTACGAAGGTTAACACAGGCTACCTTACAATGGATGTGCTCCTCCGCACCGTGTAGAAACGTAGCAGATACGGTACAAAGCTCTTCTGTACCCAGGAGGAATGCGTCACAGTGACATTTGTTTTTACACTTATATAAACGGATTGAAATGAAATGTTCAACATAATTTATCACACTATCCATCAGTTCTACCTCTTCTCAAACTCGCCGTTTTCTAATTGAAAGATATAAGAGAAAAAAAAGAGGTAGGCTGTAACATTAGCTGAGTTGAGCTACCTGTAGCAGTCGTCTGTTTATCTAAAAGACTGACTGCCTTTCTCTGTGTAAATTTCAAATCACAAGTAATCTACTGTGGCTTTCTGCAGCCTTCATATGGCTGTAATATAATGTAGAAATGGCAAAGACCCACTGCATGAAAGCAGGTACCAGTGTGGGTGCCTTCACTTTTATGTAGCCAACAAGTCATGGCAGCTTGTGAGCAGAATTTAGCATTGGCTCAGCCAGTAACAGAAGCTGTAAAAACTATACACACTGTAGATTCATACTGGTTTTAAATCACTCCACAATTGTTATTGCCAAATTGTAAAAACTACACACACTAGAGATTCATACTGGATTTAAATCACTCCACAGTTATGACTCCTGAACTGTAAAAACTATACACTCTGCAGATTCATGCTGGATTTAAATCACTCCAAAATTATTACTGTCAAGTTGTAAAAACTACACACACTGTAGATTTATACTGGTTTATTATCACTCCATAGTTATTACTGTCAGACCGAAAAAACTACACACACATCAGATTCATATTGGATTTAAATCACTCCACAATTGTTACTGCCAAACTGTAAAAACTACACACACTGCAGATTCATACTGGATTTAAATCACTCCACAATTACTACTGCCTAATTGGAAAAACTACACACACTGTAGATTCATACTAGATTAAAATCACTATATAGTTATTAGTCAGAGCGTAAAAACTACACACTGCAGATTCATGCTGGATCAAAATCACTCTATTGTTATTACTCTCAGAGCATAAAATCTACACACTGCCGATTCATACTGGATTTAAATCACTCAACAATTATTACTGCCAAACTGTAAAAACTACACACTGCAGATTCATACTGGTTTATTATCACTCCATAGTTATTACTGTCAGACCAAAAACACTGCACACTCTGGAGATTCATACTGGATTTATCGGTTTTTACTGCCACACTGTAAAAACTATACATACTGCAGATTCATACTGAATTAAAATCATTCCAAAATTATTACTGTCAGGCTATATAAAATACACACACTGCAAATTCATACTGGATCAGAATCACTGAACAGTTATTACTGTCAGGCTGTATAAAATACATACACAATAGATTCATACTGGATCGGTTATTACTGTCAGTTTATAAAAGCTACACAGACTTCAGATTCATACTGGGCACCTCCCCAGGTAAAACTAATCTAGCTTGAACAGAGCTTGACATTCTGAAAAACATACATTTAGCCAAACGTTTGTCTGGTAGGCTTACCATAGTGATTTAGAGCTATTAGTGCGTCCAGCATGTGCAGGCATGTGGCATATTCTTCACAGCCTGTGCAGCAACACAGTGATGCTGTGTCCCCGATTTGTAATACTGTCATGGCATAAAGTGAGAGACTTTCAGAGTGAAGGAAACAGAGCTCAGAAAAAAAACAGGCGGAAAAACAAAAATAAATATGCATGAAAGTAATCTGTCCCATATTTAAAAGCTAAATAGCCTCAACTGAAGCCAAGTGCTGAATTTTAGTTGTTTCCTTATTGTTTTGATGCAGAATAAATTAAAGTCTCTCTGGAAAAGCTGATACGGCCTTCCCCCCCCCCGACTTCTGAACACGGCAAATACATTAAAATGTTTTTGAACTGGGGAAAGTTCTGCTCCAGCGGCAAGGCAGATTATGAAATCGGTGACAGGCACAACATCAGAAATATTACTCATTTTGAATTCTGTGTGTGTCTGTATGTGTGTGTGTTACTTATATAAAGCTTACAAATTCAGCAAAGCAGCTTATACTGGTTTCGTCAACTGGCTTTGAAGAGAGTCTGACTGTGTGAGTATGTGTGGCAGTTTGAGGCAATTTGCAGGTACAGTACTGTGCAAAAGTCAGAGGCTTCATTTATTTCATTTTGAGTCAAAACAGCCAATAAGAACAAGTCATTCACTTTTCAGGAGATATTTTTAGAGCTTATATTAGTTGTAAGGTAATCCACATGCATAGGGAAGGTGAAAGTCAAAGGAAAATAAGTAAAAGAAAACAAGTGTTTTCAAAACTACACACACTGCAGATTCATACTGGATTAAAATCACTCCACAGTTATTACTGCCAAACTGTAAAAACTACACACACTGCAAATTAATACTGGATTTAAATCATGACACAATCAATACTGTCAAACTGTAAAAACTACACACACTGCAGATTCATACTGGATTAAAATATTTTTTTTTTTCTAAATAAAACTGGAGTTTAAAAAATTATTAAAACAAACTGTGAAAATGGCTTTCATAACAACCACCTGCAAGACCCACACCAAAACTCCCCCCATCAGATAAACAGGACTTAAAGCTTTCATCTTTGAGAGAGAGGAGAAAATCAAACTTCACTCTTGCTTCAGATCTGAAAACATCCACAGGTGTTTCTGTCCATCCTTTCACTGTGAGAAGACAATGCAATGCTCTGGGTCTGAAAGGATGTGTAGCTGTTGTCAAGAAGCTGACAAAAGGAAACAGACAAAAAGAAGACATCAAAGAAAGAAGCTGCTGATGTTCTTTAACCCTCTAAGGGCCACGAACTCACCCGCGTATCAAATTAAAATTTTCTATAGATGTTTCTCCAGAAATACAGTTCAAACATTTCCTAAATCTGTAGAGTCGCCCCCTCCATTCCCTCTTATCACAGGATCGTACGTGACTCACGTCCGCAGTTATGAATCTATGAAAAGGGGTTGATAAACACGTTATCTGCCTCCCACCATGTGTAACTAGTGAATTTGTGTGTCCGTCTACATTTTGTGTAAGGCTGGCAAACAGACGCTAAGGACTGACCCATCACATTGGAAACCCTTCATTCTTCGTTCAGTCCACATCTGTCCAAATCTGAAATGAAACATTTGCCTGTCATGTTATATGAAAGTGATTTTGAAGGGGAATTTAACAAGATATGCAAAAATTGAGAAAAAGCCCTTAGATCCCAGAGAATGAAGCAATGGACTGGACACCCCAGAGCCCAGACCTCACTGTCATTGAATGTGTCTGGGATTATTTCTATCGTGAGAAGCAGAAAATGCAACCAATGTCTAAGACTGAACTTTGGAAGTGTGGAAAAATATTACTGCAGATTTCATTGAAAAACTGAAAGCAAGTCTTCTGAAAAGAATGGTAGCTGTAATAAAGGCAAAGCGTGGACACATTAAATACTGAAAAAAAATGAAATTAAATTTAGTTTTTGAGGCTTCTGTGTAATTTATGTCAAACGTATGTTTTATTGTTGTCACTTTTTCTGACACTGAAAATGATAAATGGCCATTTTAGCTTGGAAATTAATTAAATAAAAGAAGGGTTAGCGTGTTAACACAGTAAGTGATGCTGTTAATGCATTAGCTTAGTTAGACCCTTCCGCCCATCTGAAGCCCAGCTGCTCATGCTCTGCAAGTTGCTTTCTCTCTGCGGCTGCAGTCTTCAAAATACAGCTTTTAAATGGAAAGTTCCATTGATGGCCCTCTTCACAAAACTGTTATTTACTGCTACTGTAATGCTATGAATATGTTTACCACTAAAGTACAACCAGTCTGAAGTATCATTTACAAACAAATCCCACAGGCAGTGCTAGTAATTCAGTGGACTGCGCTGGACAGTGCTCGTGGGACACCTATGAGTAAGTCAACAAAAAGGAAACTGGAAAGTTTCACTCCAACCAAGATGCAACATAGTGGTATGAAAGTGGGAGGCTACAGTCATGGAGGAGTTGAACCACTGACTGTAAATATGATACACAGATAAGCCAAAACATTTTCACCACCTGCCTAATATGCTGTTTGTCTTCCATGTGCTGCCAAAACAGCTCCGATCTGCTGAGGCATGGACTCTACAAGACCTCTGAAGGTGCCCTGTGGTGTCTGGCACCAAGAGGTTTGCAGCAAGTCCTGTAAGTTGTGAGGTGGAGCCGCTGCAAATTGGACTTGTTATTCTAGCACATCCAACTGGTGCTTGATCGGATTGAAATCTGGGAATTTGGAGGCCATCAAATTATTTTTTCCCATTTTCTCCCCAATTTAGTCGTATCCAATAGTTAGGACTCCCCCAGTCACACGATACCACCAGTGCTAGGAGGGTGAAGGCTAGCACAGGCTTCCTCCGAGACCTGTGAAGCCCCACCACTTCTTTACAAAATGCTGCTCACACAATGTCATTGGACAGCCAAACAGGGAGGAAAGGGCCAACCGTGAGATCTGTTGCACCACTCAGGAAACCTTCCAGGGCAACACCTTGAACTTTTCGTCATGTTCCTCAAACCATTCCCAGGCATTTCCCAGAGCATCACACTCCCTCTACCAGCTTATCTTCTTCCTACAGTGCATCCTTGTGCCATCACTTCCCCAAGTAAACGGCATACACGTGCCCGGCCGTGCATATGATGTGAAAGAAAGCGGGACTCATCAGACCAGGTGACCTTCTTCCATTGTTCCAAGGTGCAGTTCCAATGCTTGTGTGCCCATTGTTGGCTTTTTCAACTGTGGACAGGGGGTAGCATGAGCACTCTGACTGGTCCATGGCTGTGCAGTCCAAAATGCAGCAGGGTATGCTGTGACACAGTCCTCTCACAACTATCATTAAAAGTTTTGTTGACATGTGCAACAGTAGCCTTCCTTTCAGTACAGACCAGATGGGACAGACTTCATCGATGAGCCTTGAGTGCCCAACATCTGGTTGCTGATTTATGGTTTGTCCCTCTGAGCCAGTTGTCTGGCCATTATGTTTTTGTAATGTGCCAGAAAGAGTCAGACGCTCGCAGTTAAAAAGATCAAATGAGGCTTTACTGATGAAATCAAAGTCCAAGTTCATGGTAACAAAACACCCGTTGGTCAAATCCAGAAAACACAGACAGTACAAAAAGACAAACTTAACAATAAGCAAACAGTCTAGAAAGGGTCAGGCAAAAAGGCAGAGTCGAGAAAGCAGGGAAAAAGGTCGTAAACAGTGATCTCACGAGAAAAGCAAACAATCCAAGGGGTAAGGCAAAAAGGCAGAGTCGAGAGAGTCGGGAGTCAAACAAACAATAGAACGCTCATTAGATCAGTAGTGATACAATACCTTGCAACTTGTCTATAAGCCCAGGCTTATAAACTAAACTAAGAGGATCATGTACAACACAGGTGAACAGAAGGAGGGAGAGTGCTGATTGGAGCACGAGTGACGTTTAGGAGTCAGGTGATCTCCCAGAGGATTCCGGGGATATGGAGTCCGAGTGTGATTCAGAGCCCAATGGATGCGTGACAGTTTTGACCTTTGTCCAAAGGGGTTTGCCTATTTAAACCACATCCAATATCCTGACTACGAGAACCGACTGTTCGCTTACCATCTACTATATCCCAGACGTTGGCATGCGCATTTGTTAGTGAACATGTTTTGGATCATATATATATACACACACATTGATTGGAACTTCCAGCCACGTCAATGGTGAATTTTGGGAACTGCCTTCATTTGATGGACATCGTGTGATTTTCATGTTCAGGCTTACAAGAACCTTCATTCCTGAAGGAGGGTCAAATTACAGCCAGATGCAACTAAATGCAATTAACTACACAAAAGAATGCAGCTAATTGTGATGAATCATTTTCATTATTTGATAGCTCTACTCAAAAGATTTCAAAGCAGTGTAGATATTGATTCAGAACAGGATAACATAAATGGTTGGTGTTCTGTGGTTCTGGCTTGTGCATTTTGGCTTCTTTTAATGTTGTAATATTACAGTGTAGTAAGACAGGAGATGTATTTGTTTCAGTAAACCATTTTTTCTCTTGTGTAATTCTCTTTTATTAAATCTTAAACTCTTGTTTTCTTCCTGCTTTTACTTTCCCCACTCTAGCAGTCATGTGAAAAGAGCTCCTCTGACCTAAAAAATTGAAAAACTGAGGCTTGGGGGAGGAGGCACAAAAAGAAAGCGAGGAATGAGCAGGGACAGCGTGAGAGTGATAAATAAGTAAACAACTGTTGTTGTTTCTCTCTCCCAGATTATGGCCGAACGGAAGAACGGCAAAGCGGCAGCGGGCGGCTCCTCTCTCCCCGGCTCTGATGTCCCACTTCAAGGTACCAGTACTGGATGAAAGCTGTTTCTGATCAGGCACTATTTATGGATATATTTCAACTACTGAAGAGAACACTATAGACTTTAAATCAGAATGAAATATCAATTTTACGTATTTTGCGTGCGCGTCAGCACACATCAAACAGCATTGCATTAAATTTGCTGCAAAATCCACTGCTAACAAAGGTACACCCCCCTCTAAATCCTCCAGATTTCTCCAGTTTGTGCTCTTGTAATGTCTGGAGTACAACTGATAGTGCAAGCAAAACAAGCTAGATAGCAAAATGCTGTGGTTAGCTAACAGAACTGTTTTACCCTTGCTAGTGGTAACGTTTATTTTTTACTACACATAATGTGTTCCCTGCACATTAAGTGCTAATTTTGCTAACTTGCATTATGGATCAAATTCCAAAACCCAAGTACAGAAGATAACATAAAAAAATAAAAAAGAGAAAGAAGTGATTTGTAAATCCATTTTGACCTTTATTTAAATAAAAACAGTATAAAGACAAGGTATTAAATGTTTTACCTTTCAAACCTATAATTTTTTGTGAATATAAACTCATTTTGAAATTGATGCCTGCAACACATTTAAAAAAAGTTGGAAAAATACATCTTTATTTATATTCTTTTTTGGATTTTAACCCAATTATCTCCCCAATTCCACCCGCTAGTTAGGACTCCCCCAATCACACAATATTACCAACGCTAGGAGGGTGAAGACTAACACAGGCTTCCTCTGAGACCTGTGAAGCGCCTCCGCATCTTTTCAAACTGCCGCTCACGCAACGTCATTGGACAGCTGAACGCGCTCGGAGGAAAGCGCCAACCGCCAGATCTGTTACGTCAGCTAACAGACGCTAACAGACAGTTCCCCTTGTTTAAGGGTGGTTCGCCACTTTGCATAAAATCCATCAACAGTTCCTCACGCATCATGGTGCAGAATATCATCAAAAGATTCAGGGAATCCAGAAAGGCAAGTGCAAAACCCTTCGACTCCTAAGACGGCACTGCATTAAAAACCGACATAGTTCCATAAAGAATAATAACCACATTGGCTCAGGAACACTTCAGAAAATCCTTGTCAGTAAACACAGTTCATCGCTGCATCTATAATTGCAAGTTAATATGCTACTACACTTCTAAGTGGAAGCCATATATCAGCAACATACAGAAACGCTGCCAACATCTTTGGGCTGAAGCTCATCTGAGATGAAAAAACATGTGTTGTGGTCTGATGAGTCCATCTTTCAAATAGCTTTTAGAAGTAATGAACAATGTGTTTTCCAAGCCATAGAGAAAAAGCACCATCTGAGTACAAAGTTTGAAAGCCAGCATCTGTCATGCTGAGGGGGTGTGTCAGTGCATAGGGGTGCATACACCTTTTGGAGCAACATATGCTGCCATCTAGATGACGTCATTTTCAGGGATGTCCTTGCTTGTTTTAGCAAGACAATGCTGAGCCACATTCTGCATGTGTTACAACACCGGGCTTCATAGTAAGACAATGTCTGTCGGACAGTATTGCACACCATCATGACTTACTGTGAGCTACTTTGACCTATAAAAATGAATAAAACATCACTGCCGTTATTCACAAAGCAGCACTCATCTTGGATTAAATTCATCTGTATTTATGACAGTCATTGTCACAAATACGGATTCTAGATCAGCATTCAGTGAAACAGTGATTACAGATCCTGTCAGCTAAGCAATAAAGATTTCTTAACCTTTTCAACTCCTTGAGACCACCTGTGGTTCCAAAACGCACTTTGTCATATTCTTCGTAACTTTCATATTTCATAAGCTACATTCAAAAGGTGGGGGTCATATGACAGCTGTAACTGTCTTCTTTCCAGTCAAATAGATGGGTAATGTAATTTTAAACCCTTATAATTTGACTCAAGTTGACTCATTTTTCCACAAATCTGGGCTGTAAACTATAAACAGATGGTGTCTCTTCAGTGATCTGCTCTGTAAAAATTATTTTTATAAAATAATACAAAGAGCGTCTAAGATTTTTGGCTTTCAGCAGTAAATTGTAAGCATATAGCAATATGTGTGATCATAAAACACACGTTCTGTTAATTTGAGGGGAGCTTTTACAAAAAATAAATAAATAAAATAAAATTTTACAGTTATTTTATGCAGTTACTGAATAATTTGCCTTACGATTTGGTCACGTAAATTCAGATGGACAAACCAAAATATACCCTGGTCAATAATAGTTTACAGCAAGTCATACTGTGTCCTAAACCACACTGACAAATCTACAAAGACTTATTGAAGACACCTGGATGTAGTTTAAGCATGATCAAGAAGAGGTTTTGGTGAGGTATTTTTACAGAAACGATTGCTGCTATTTGGGTGAATTTTAAGGTTTAGTGTTAGCAATGTTAGCAATGCCACTCCAGTTCTAAACTAAAGAAGCAAAGTTTGAACTCCAAACTTGGCTGATCAACTACATCTAGAGTAAGTGGAAAATTGTGTAAATTTGATTTTTTGCCAATCCTTTAAGGTTATCACCAATTAACACACAGACAACAATGCATACACAACCACAGGCACACTCAAACACACAGTGATCTCTACAATAAACAAACACAGAAATTCCACCCTCCCCAAAATCTGCATAATTCAGTAGTTCAGAGTAATTTGATGCATGAATGGTACATACTGGCGAAACGTACTGACCCAGATTTATTTAGAGTGGTGGTGATAGGAACCTGGGGTTGTGCAGTGCAAATATACATACAACAAAAATATAGCCATTTTATCTGTGATCCAAAATAACCAGTGTATCTACACGTATTGTTTGACTTTTTATGTTATGTTGATGATGGAAAAATAGTGACAAAAGAAGTTTTCTTTTACAATATCTCAGACATCACTGCATATTTGTATCCATTCTGTGCAATAATTTTTAGTGCTTTAGCCTTTAAATGCTTTAAAATGCATTAAACACTTTGGCTGTAAACAATTCTGACAAGCTAAGTTCCTCTAGAATGGAGCATTTCACACCAACCACTTCGAATGACTTTGTTTACATCTTACCTAATGAATTGTACAGAAATGTAGAAAATTTGATGGAATTCCCCTTTAATGTATATTAATGTAACATCAGTTTTGAATCATTTCCGTTCACAATGTAAACGGCAAGAAAAGCATTTTTGATGTTTTGAGGTTTTAATATGACAGAAATAATTTACTCAAAAATAACAAGTCCTTGTTGTTGGGTCATTATTATTTAATCCTGCCCCGTTCCTGCCGTCTCGTTCCATGTTTGCTTCTTTGCTTTACTCTTATCTTCTTCCATTTCCTCTCCTGCTTTGAGATAATTAAAGAACAAGGTCTTGCTCTGATGGAGGGATGAAAAACGAGTGCGAGAGGTGATGCGATGCAGTGTGTTAGTGTTTAGTGTGCAGGCCCAGTCGACCCCATTAAAAACCAATTAACAGAGCGCTGGCGTTAGCGTAGCCAAGCCAGCCATTCCTAACGCTGCGAGATCAAAGGAATTATGGGAGAGAAAATCACTTGTGCCAACAACCGCACACGCTGGCTGTATGCCAGCCCTTCTCTCTCTTTCTCCCTCTCTCTTTCTCTCTCTCTCTCTCGCTCTCTCCCTCTCTATCTCTTTTTCATTCTCTTGCTTTGATTTCTCTCCCATACACTCTTTTTTCTTCTGCTCACCTGCTGTTTCTCTTCTGATCACCTATTGGTCGGTCATTCCAGCTTCTTCCTCTTTTTTATTCTTTCTGTGTCTTTCTTTTTGTCTATCTGTCTCAACTCACCCTTTATTTCTCCTTTTTCCAGAATGGAACACAAAATCCTCAATTGCCAAAATAGTTGTGACTGCATGTGAAATGCTAATAAAACAGAAAGCAGTTATGAGTAAATTAAATACAACGAACACAGAACAATTCTAATGTTTTATGATGACATTTGGTGTTTTACCTTAAATATATGCATCACTTCAATTTAATGCCTACAGCACATTCTAAAAAAGTTGAGGGGAGCATGTTTACCACTGTGTTACATCACCTTTCCTTTTAACAAGACTTAATAGTCATTTGGGAACTGAAGACACTGACTAATCCAGTTTGGAAAGTGGAATCGTTTTTGCCATGCAAGTCTTCAGCTGCACAAATGAGGCCTTCCTTATTGTGTTATGTACTTCTTAATGTGCCACATGTTTGTAGTTGAAGACAGGTCTGGACAGCATGCAGGCCAGTGTAGCACCTACACTCTCTAGTTACACAGCCATGTTGTTGTAACATGTGCAGAATGTGGCTTATATGTTGTCACGTTGGATGTCCATGAAAAAGACATTGTCTAGAAGGCAGCATAACGCGCCAAATGTATAAATATATATATATAGGCACTAATACACTCATATACCATGACATATCCTGGCTTTTGAACCTTATGCTGGTAACAATGGTTGATCCTTTTCTACTATGGCCCAGTAGAACCTCCATTTTTCCAGTAAACAATCTGAAACATTGACTTATCAGACCACAATACGTGTTTCCACTGTGCATTAGTCCAATTCAGATGAGCCCAAAGAAGTTGGTGCCATTTTTGGACGTTCTTGACATATGGCTCCCGCTGTGCATAGTACAGTCTTAACTTGCATGTGTGCAACTTGCAGTGTTTATTGACAGCGGTTTGTCAAAGTATTCTCAAGCCCATGTCATGATCCATCACAGAAGCATGTCGTTTTGTTAATGAGATGCCATCTGAGGGATCGAAGGTCATTGGCATTCAGTTGTGATTTTCAGCCTTACCCTTTTTATTTCTCTGATTCCCTGAATCTTGTGATGATGGCGGTGGTTGGTATGGTGTAGTGGGTGACACATCTGCCTTCTACACTGTAGACTGGCATTCAATCCCCATCTGGGTAAGCACCCTACGCTATACCAATAGTCCTTGGGCAAGACTCCTAACACTGCCTTTGCCTACCTGTGTGAAAAATGATGAAATTGTAGGTTGCTTTGGATAAGAGCATCTGCCAAATGCCATAAATATAAATGTTTTGATGATGTTATACAATGTAGAAGGTGAGATGCCTCAAATTCCTGCAGGTCTTTGTTGAGGAACTTTGTTCTTAAATTCATCAAAGATTTGTCAAAGGACACAGGTTTGACCGCCTTTAATGATGTGCGAACTGCTCTTCGTCTGATTCACGAAACTTTCCTCTGAGATGGAAACATGCAGCAATTTGAGTGCAAATGAATCAGCTTCAGTGCATGAAATCAAGCACCAGCTTACCAGCATTTACAGCATTTTACTAATTTACATGAAGCATGCCGTAATTCATGCAGATGTTTTTGGTATGCAGCCAATAAAACCTCAGCATTCAGCAGCTTGTGAGCCAGTGGCTGTGCTCGTAGGCAGAGTATGAGGTTGAGCAGTCAGTGCACTGCTCCTCCCACTGACCAAACTTTATAGTGTTAAAATTACAACAACTGGAAAGATTAAAATGTGAAATAAACAGAACATCTCAGGTTTTTTTAAGATAGTAGAATGATAATCACTATGTGACTATTTTCCTAAAGTAACATATTTAGCCCTCTGAGGTTCAAATTCAATGTTTCTATATTTGGTTCACTATCTTTGTGATAATAAATTGCAGAAATACAATTCAAACATATGCTCAATCTGTAGAGTCACTCTTTTAATTCCATTTTATGAGTTATGAGGCTATGAAGAGGGGTTAAGAAACACATCATCTGCCTCTCACTGTGTGTAACTGGTACAATCGTGTGTCCATCTACATTTTGTGTGAAACTGATCAACAGACATGTGAAATCACTAAAGACTGATACATCATGTCAGAAACACTTTATTCTTCATTCAGTCAACATCAGAGAGATATATGACATGGTGTGCAAAATGTTTACAGCTGCTGAATTTTCTGCAATGGATATATGGAAGATAACAGAGCATTTTGATATGAAACATATGGGTGTCACGTTACGTGCAACTGCTTTTAAAGGCGAATTTAAGTGGATATGCAAAAATCAAGACAATGCCCTTAGACCTCAGAGGGTTAAATCTTCTGTTACTGCAGCTTCTGCATTAGCTGTGTTTTGTATTTGCTATTTTTTGGGTGGAGTCAGTAGTATAAGACAAAAGCATAGTGTAATATGTCTTTAAATGGAACATGGGATAGTTGCAGCCTTTGTTGAAGCCAATGTGCATGTAAAATAAGTACATCCACTTTGTACTGGATTGCCATGTGAACAAATTATTCTTGTTTGTCAACAAGTATTGTTGTTATTTTCTATGGTTTTTTCTTATTACTGGAATTATAGATGATATTGATAAGTTTTTTTTTCAGGTTGTTAAACTATTATGCTCAAATTCAAGCACACTTCTAGCAAATGAGAGTTTGATCGCACAGATACGCCAAAGATGAAACTGATAAATGTCAGTGAAATTTGTGAACGCTCATTTTACAATGAGAATTGATGAATAAGGCCCATTGACTTCAAATAGCGGTCAAAGTGGATTTACAAATCACCGCTTTCTGTTTTTTTTTATCAGAATTTCACATATTATCCCAGCTTTGTACTCTTCAGAGGATGCAACTGAAACAGCTTTATGATTTTAGGATTTAGAGAAAAAAACACAGACTCATGACACGTACCGAGGGAGATTCTGCCCTTTAGGTGCTGGTTTGTTTTTCAGCTGTCAGACAGCTTTTCTGAAGTGTAGACGAGTAAACAGTGTGCCATTCAGACCCCAATTCGAAATCCAAACAAAAACTACCAAAACAGATATTCAACATTTGTAGTGCTTTCTTTTTTTGTATGTATGTGGGAAATAGAGAGAGAAAACAAAGGAAAAAAGGAAAGAAAGGGGGGTAGGGGAGCGTTTTTGAGTTCTGATTGGATATGGTGTTACATCAGAATGTGCGTGTGTTTCTGATGTGTGTTCTCTCAGTAGAGTTTCCCACACCAAAGACTGAATTACAACAGAGCTTCCATGTTCTCTACCTGGGAATGACTTCAGTGACTCGTCCCATAGGTAAAACACACACACACACACACACACACACACACACATACACACACACACACACACACACACACACCCTCGCTCTCTTCCACACACTGCTGTGTATAAATAACTATACAATTCCACTTCCTAAAGTCAGACAGCACCTGTCTCTTATTTATTCACCAGTGAAAATCATTAAGTAAATTCATTTTTCAGGGACAGTAAAAAAGCAGAAAACATATATTTACACAAAAAATACACAGAAGCTTCAAGAACTAAATAAAATATACCTTTTTTCACTATTTACTGTGTCCACCATTTGCTTCCATTCTTTCCAGGAGACTCACTTTCAGTTTTTCAAAGAAATCTGCAGGGATGTTTTTTTAAAGTTCAGTCTTAGAAGTTGGTTGCATTTTCTGCTTCTTATGATCCAAATAGTCCCAAACACATTCATTGATGTTGAGGTCTGGACTCTGAGGTGGACAGTTCACCCCCACCACCCCCCCCGCCCACCAACTACTCGCACACTCTCAGATAGCAAATAGTTTAGAGTCTTGCTCATTCATGCACTCCCTCTCTCTCTCTCTGACAGGGATGGACATTATAAATGGGGCGATCGACAGTCTGCTCTCGTCCACGGGGAAGGAAGACTGGACGGCAGTGCTGCTCAATGTGGAGGATGCTACAGTCAGCGTTATCAAAGAGAAGGTGAGCTGCATCTATACATGTTTCTCTCTCTTCTTCCTCTTCTTGCGTTCTCTATCCACTGTATCTTCCTATCTACATGTAATCTACTTGTACACAAAGCATGGAAGCAAGCAGTTAGAGATGGCACAGTACTATTTTTTATTTAAAAAAAATATATATTTTACTAGTAAAAACACACTTACTGCCAAGTTAGAATAGCTAAGAATATTTTTGAACAATTTGCTTAGGTGCCTAAGACTTTTGTACAGCCCTCTAAGGATCATTGTACCAAACTGGTTCAAAGTCAGAGACGAAAACACATTTTGGCCTTAAGTGACTAAAATCCATTTGCTTTGAGTGACCCTATACCTTAATTATGTTTATTTTATTAAAAGAAAAGATTGCACATTCCATTTTGTCACTAACAAAGTATTCATACCACTACCAAAACTTTACCAAATGTTTCAGTAGTGACTGTTTCAGTAGTGACAATTTTACCAAATTTTGAGTACAACTCAAAAACACTAGATGGTACATGACTAGCAAACTCAGCTTTTAATGTATATACACACATAAAATCATAATATTTTTCATTAAAGCACAAAAATACAGAAAATTAGTTTCGGTAGTGACAATTCTTAATGTTACACAGTGATTATCAGACTTTGGGACACCTTTACTTCAAAACAATGGGGTGTAATTGTTCACCCTGTGGCCATGAGGGACAGGGATGCAGTCCCACTTCTTGCTCTAAAATGCAGGGTCGTGGCTAAAATAAGGTTCTATAGACTAAAACTCATTGTGTTTCAGTAGTGAAGGTAGTAAACGTGACAGCTCTTTTTGAATAAAGCTTTCTTATTTAAAAATAAAACTCATAATAAATCTAAATCTTAAAAGAAATCAAAAAGAGTTTAAAAATGACATTGAAAAAAATAGGGCTTTGGGTTTAGGACACAAACTTCTACAAAAAGAATGTACCCTATAATTGGTGATTTTATGTATATTTAGTTTATAATGATTTCACTTAATGCCTTGAAGTTAATATCTTAAATGGCCTGCTGGTGGGCCCAAAGTTTTATTACACACTTCCATAACCTAAGAATAGCTTTATGAACTTAGAAATCTTTGTAGTTACTTTCAAGCCTTAGTATGTAATAAGACTGTGATTTTAAGGGGTTAAGTAGAAAATAACATAATTATTGTAAATATCTAAGGTCTGAATACCTAATTGTTTTTAGATATATATTTTTTTGGTAACACTTTCTATGAATGTCACCTTTGTAAGCATCTATAAACACATTCATAACATGTTATAATGCATTCATAAGACATTATAAACATAGCTATAAATATTTATAAAAATGCATTATACGTTATAGCCATGTTTATTATGCATTATGAATTATTAACATAATGCATTATAAGTACTGATCATAACAAATTATAAGAGCTTATAAGTCGTATTTATCCGCCACCTCCAGTGTTAAGAGTGAGGCTTCAAGCTGAAGTATTTACTGAAACAGTAAAACATTCACAATAAAGCACATTACAGGCTTCAAATGTCAGATTTTAAACTAGGGCTACCATCAGTGTTTTAGCCAGTGTGGGAAAGTCAATGTACACCACCGTTAGCTTGGTATTTGTTTTTACTTTACGCTCTCCAAGCTGGGACTGACTTCTTTGGCACTGACATTATAACATGTTATTAACCCTACTTATAATGCATTATATAAACAATTTATAATGTATAATAAACATGGCTATAAAGTGTAATTCAGTGTAATTCTTTTTTATAAATATTTATAACCATGTTTATAATGCCTTATGAATACATTATAACGTGTTATAAATGTGTTTATAGATGCTACAAATGCGACATTCATAGAAAGTGTTACCATTTTTTTTTACTATGAGACCACAGTTTGGCCTAATTCAGCAGCATGGCCCATGAACTGTATGTCTATTTGTGCAGTCACCTTTTCTTTCTTTATCTCACTCTCTGGTTTTCTTTGTCTTCACTACCGTATAATCTTCTAATCGCTTCCTATTATGGAGGCTTGCTGTTCTTCTTCTCCGAACTGCTATGTGATAAGTCTTCAGCCTAACTCTCAAAGCCAATGGCTTTGCTTAAAGGGTAAAAGTTCCTCAAGTTAAGATCTTTGGATATTGCAAGGCAGCACTTTTCATTGGTCATGCGGTTAAAGAAGTGCCAGGCAGACGGAGTGAACATCAATGACACTGATATTAATACATCAATATCGGTGATCAGGGCAGCCCGCTGAGGGTTACATGTGCAAGACAAAAGCCACAAATCAATGAATGGAGCCAAGTGTAGAGCAGAATGTTCTAGAAATAGTACGAGATTTTTTCTCTCAGTTTCTTAAACGCAGTTGTCAAACGTTCATCTAAACATTTGGAACACTCATGCAGCTCCAAAGTGAAAATAAACACCTAGTAATGAGCTACTGACATACTGGCATTCTGGACTGATGTTTGTGTTCACAGTGACATTCAGTGCATTAAATGCTTGAAAGTTAATCAGCTTTCTTGTGATGCATTTTGGAAGTGAAATATGTTTTTGTCCATTATGAGCAAGTGGGGGGGTTGAATCAGCTATTTCATCAGAGCTGGTGAAACTCCGTTTGGTGTGTCCTGTTGGAAACTTAGCTTTGTCCTGTGCTGTTTCCAGGAGGAGGAGGAGGAAGTCCTGGTGGAGTGTCGTGTGCGTTTCCTGTCATTTATGGGTGTGGGCCGTGATGTGCACACCTTCGCCTTCATTATGGACACAGGGAACCAGCACTTCCAGTGTCACGTGTTCTGGTGTGAACCCAATGCAGGAAGTGTTTCAGAGGCAGTGCAGTCTGCCTGCGTGGTGAGTCTCTCTTACGCATATATGCCCATACTCAAATGTATATATATATATATATATATATATACACACACACAAACAGCTGCTTAACCATGGGCACCAGTGCAATAAAAAAAAATAATGGGCTCCCCATTTGCATATCTGCATTTCATTTATTCATGGTGATATTCAGTATTCATGAGAAGAGATTGATGTTTCTGCTGCATTTACATTATGACAACAACAAACCAGATATTCCATGTTTATTGAATGGAGCAACAATGGAAAATTTAGCGAACTGCTGAAACACAGGTGCTGAACAGGTGTACCTGTTCATGTACAACAAAAACAAATTTCAACACAAATACACCATTAGAAACATTAGCATGTGTTAAAACATGTTTTAGGATAAATTTGTGACTAACATCATTGCCCCACAGACAGACAAGAACACCTGTTACTCCAGTGATGTTATCACCATGGCAATCTTTACTCGGCTGCATGTCACCATTGGTCGAGTACTGTTGTTGATTATGCTGTGAGGCACGGGACGTTTTTTCAATGCCAACATGCAAACACAGCATAAATGATTGTATTTTTGTATGCCTTGCTTTATGTATGTGCATGTCTTGTGCTATTACTGTGTGTTTTCTGGGGTGCATTCATTCTGTGTGCAAGTTCAACTTTGGTCAACAATAACACGCTAATTCGTGCTACTCACGCTGCTTGAGAGGTCAACACAGTCAATCGTTGACTGAGTTGACCTCTTAAGAAGTGGCTCTTCATAACACTGAACCCCCAAAATGGATGAAATGTTAATTTTACCAGTGCCTAAACATGAAACTTACCATTTCTTCCCCACTGGCTATAAGTAAACACATGAAAGATGGACTGCATGAATACACATTTAGTTCGGGAGACTTTTATTATTACTTTTATGGCTTTACTGTTTGTTTGTGATGAGTTAGGCACCTTCATAACTGTAATGTTAGCTTCGAGGCTAACTGCAGCTGCACACAAGCCACACCACAGCTGCGAACAACAGCAGTTATCTACACGTTTTTTGCTTCCACTTATTTTAATCGAATCAAACCTGCCACAGCACACAGACTTTGCTTTTACCCCGTCTTCTTTATTCACTACTCACACTCTCTCTTCCAGCTCCGGTACCAGAAATGCCTGGTCGCCCGCTCTCCCTCTCAAAAGGCAGCTTCCTCGTCTCCGCCCCAGTCGGAGTCAGTCACTCGCCGAGTCACCACCAGCGTTAAGCGGGGCGTCCAGTCCATCATAGACACTCTGAAAAAGAAGCCGTCCCCCGAGCTGCCCCACCAATGACAGGGTAGCACGACCGTGACGGTCAGCACAGCCAAGCCGAGACACCGGGAGACCCTGTAAATAGTTACCAGTACCTCTGTGCAGCCAAGGAGAGAGAACTTACCACAGATAAACAAACAAATAAACAAAAGCTAAGAAGGATGGAAGACGGAGGCCCAGTGGGTGCTGCTTCACCGTTGACCTTTGACCTCTGCCGTTTCAGCACGCTCCCTGAAGCATGCCTCGGCCACACTCACACAGACACACACATTTTTAAGCCCATACTCACAACCACTGACCTGTTTGAATCGTTTTTCTCGCCATGCGGACCTGAAGGATGCCATGAGCTGCGTGTCATACTGTTACTGTCACATTGTTGATGTAGCTCGTGGAGATCATGCTCACATAAACTCGGCGCCACTACTGTGCTGCAGATCACCTCTCTGTGTCTGTGCGACTGCAAATTTGTAAAACCACCATACTTTACTTCTATTGGGCCAGAAACATATCCATACAAGTACACAAATACCAGTGCTTTGAGCTACCTGATTTCACACATTGATGCATTCTGAAAGGTTTCGTAAGGGAGTGTTCACACTGTAGACATTGTCTATTGTTTTCAATTGGAGAAGTGCGCTTGCACGCTGGGCGCCTCGCATTGTATGCGTCCGGCACAGCTTCAGATGTCTGCCCTGACTTGAAATAAGTTTAACTCAAAGTGGTAAAGTATCCTACATCATGAGCGTTTTTCTGTGCTGTTCAGTCGACCAGCGTCATGCCCATATTAGAAACTCTGGGTCTGAGCTGGATTTCTCTGTGACGAAAGTGAATGGGATTTTAAAAAATCACTGCTATAACTGAACTATACTATCCTATACTATGAACCATACTATCTTACGTACATTTTTCCAATGAATGTCACTGTATCCTCCTAGATCCTAGAATTATGTGGCCGCTAGGACTGAATTTTGCCACCTGTGAGTGAACTTCGCTGTGCGCTGAATTGACATTGGAAGACAAGCAAAAATACCCCAGCAAACCCACAAGCGTTGTCAAATGTGGTAGTTAAAGACCACTTGGACTCAAATATGTGTTTTCTATATGATGACCTCCTCTTGAATGGCTTAGTATGGTTGTATAGACTGATATGTGTTACTATAGCTCAGTTTTCCCATTGTAAACACAGGCTTTCTCAGTACATCTAGGGGCACTATATAGCACCTATCACAGTCCAATATACTAAAATATGCTAATGAGAGGATGCGCCAGGCTCCGACGAGAGCCGTGAGAGGTGGCATTAGGCCTGAACCCCAAGCGCTGACGGCATGACCTGTTGCTGCCGATGCCAAACCAGCGCCAGCTAGCTCACATTAAGGGCAGTATGAGCACCTGAGCTGAGTACAGTGAGACAAGGTGCGAAAGGTGGCACTGTTGCAAACTGGTTCACTGAGTTGGCCCTTTGTAGCCTAGCAACTGTAACTATGCCTGGATTAACTCTGAAAAGCTTTACAATATGCTTTAGCATATTTGCAAATCTGAAAACTTGACCAATTGCCTAAGAGACTGGTAGAAAAACTGAATTGTTGCTCACTTCTCAAACCTAGACACTACAGGAGATGTGTAAGGTCTCAAATAATGCATGGAAGAGCACATTACCAAATTAGAAAGAAGCATTTCCAAAAGAAGACTTTAATGTTAAACCGAACATTTTGCTGCCATTAAAGCTATTACATTGGTGCTGCTATGGCGGGTGAGCTAGCAGCCAGCCAACACTGGAGTAGCCAGCCAACATGGGCCCCCCTGAATACCAGGGGGGTATTTCGCACAGTGGGCAGAGAGAACTTGTTGCTTCTCCCTTCATTGCCTCAGCCCTCACAAGCTACGGCAACACCAGCAGGGCCCAGCGTAAGTTGTGGCCTGGCAGCCACACCACGAGACGTTAGCACTAGAAGCTAGCATTTGCTTAGCAAGAAGGCCTAAACAGCTTCATACACAGCTACGAAGGCTCATTCCAACTCAATGAATCCTCACTGATGAAGTTTAACGGATAAAACAAAAAACCATAATAATATGAGCATGACTATACATCTGTATGGTTTCGTGCATCGAAATTAGCATAAACAGAAGACAAGCTATTTTGAGTTTCGAGATAAGATTTTGGTCTAAAACGTCATTTTTTAAATACATTCATGGTGGAGAGGTACATGCAAGGCGTTGCAAGGAAAACAGTATCCCATATTCTATTTTCTTCTGATTTTCTAGTGTTACATTTCTTAACCTTACATATAAAACTCAGAATGTTCACTGGTCGTTTTGGAAAGCAAATGAAATGACTATATTTGAGTTGTGAACATCATGGCTTCAATCACCATGGACAGAAAGCAGCTATTGTCTTTTCTAGCAGCACCATGCTGGCTAGTCAATAGCAGACCTCTTGCTAATAGAGCTTTCCGCCTGGACATATCAAAATGAAGGCCAGCTAGTGCAGCTGATTGACAGTTGACAGTGAGGTTTTTCTGCCTTCTGAAAAAATGCAATGTGAATCCCCCTAATACAACTTACAGTGGCTGCTGTAGCCCATAATCCATGAAAAGATTGGTCAAGAAAGGCTAAAACCTCACCGCCTCTCCTCTGAGCGATTGAGCTGCTTCAACACCTTCCTTTTAGAGCAGCGCACTCCTTAAGCGTCTACATATTTAATATTGCTGCTATTGTTATTGGAATAACAACAGATGTGATCTGTTGAGTGAGTACTGAGATACATAACAAACGGGACCATGTGCTTGATCCAATAAACTGAATGGCATTTGCAGTTGAGTTTGTGTACTTGCATCAGGTATGTTTCTGGCCTTATTTTGGCATCATGCCACTGTTTGATGATCCGAGAGACTTGTTGGACGTTCAGCAACTGACAACTGGGAACATTTTATGGGACTGACCAAACTGACCAATATAAAGCGTTATACACCTGCTAGAACTAGAATATCTAGTGTTTGTGTCTAATGAATGCTAAAATAGTAGACACTGGTTCAAAATCATTCTGCCACCTTGGAAAGCAAAAAGCACCATGACAGATGTCCATCAGGCCAATGTGAAGCTACTGTAGGCCTCCATGCTTAAACTGAGGGTTATTATATAAAGGGGAATTCCACTGGTTTGATGTAAAATGGGCCATTCTAGAGTCAGAATTGTTCACAACAGTTTTGACAGGAACCAGACATCTGAAATGTTTAATGTCTCTGAAAAGCTGCCTCATAGTTATTACACTAAGGTACTGGCTGGGGCCTGAGACGATAGTTTTGACATAAGATTATGGTCTAAAATGTCATTTTTTTAAATATAAAGATTTTTTTTTTAGATTTTCTGATGTTACCTTGCTCAACTTTACCAATGAAACACATGTAGGTTCATTGGTCATTGTGGAAAGCAAATGAAATGACTATATTTGAGTCGTAACCCCTGGCTCGCATCACCACCAATGTAAAGAAATAAGCACCATTTCACATCAAACCGCTCTGAATCACTTTGTTTACATCTAAACTGCTGAATTATGCAGACATTTAAAAAAATCTGTGGAATTCCCCTTTAAACCCCCAATCTGAAGTCAACAAAGCAGCACAACTGCTGAGAGCTCAGAAACTCGGGTGTTTTAACGAGCGTTGTTCAATAGCCCGGGATGCTGTAGCACTAAACACCAGCCTGCCTGCAGTGATTCTGATGAGAGTTTTTAGCTACGGAGAACTTCGCCATGACAGAAGTGGGATTTGTTACTGCGGCAAACCACAAGTTGCATAAGGGACTATAAACCAGTCAAAAGTGCGCTGATCTGGAATAAGCTTGTCTTTCACATCTTATAGATTATACAGGCAGGAGGAGCTGATTCTATGTCAGCTTTGTTAATCTAATGAAAGGGTTCTAGAAGTCTAGAAGACAGTAGAACACCCAGTTAATGGGCCTGATTAGGATAGCTGGGGCCAGATTCATCAAAGCTTTCCAGAGGGGGGGAAAAAAAAAGGAATTGAAGAAAAACACTGAGATATTCATAAGAATGCAATCCTGAAAACAAGAGTTTCTCAAATATTAGCCAAAGGAAATCTTAATTATTGGAGGCTATTCGTTTTTTCATCAATCAGTCCATCTATTACAACACCTGCTCTTAATATTGCCCATTAACGCTCTGCTAACAATTCTTTCATAGCAAGTGTTGCTTCGAATTGTCGCGCCCAACTGTTGCACCCACACTGACTGAAATCCCATTCATTGTAGTGCAACACTGTCAAAATACAGACATTTCGAATTATTTTCTGTTTGTGAAATGTCACATTGTTAAAACTGAGTGGGTGTAGTTTTTATCATGTAAGTAAGATTTTTAAAGATGCTTCAAAGTTCAGTTTTAATGTTGCTAGCAAGCTAAGTTAATGCTGTAGCCTACACCGCTAGCTACTGTAGCATAGCTGAAGTTAGTCTAGGTTTGCTAGCAACCTTACCTGCCATATATACACCAACATTACTTCAAAAACAGAAACCGCACCAATATGTTGACTCTATGTCAACAAACTGAAGCTACTCAGCTACAATAATTCTAATAATATCTTCTGTTCAATCGATATCTTATCATATGGAGTTCACAGGATTGATAGCATGACAATGTGATTAAAATTAGCTTTTTATATAGGTAGCTAGCAAGCTAGCTAGCTAGAGATATAAATCTCTGGAACTTAGGAGGTGAAGGAGCCCTACTTCCTTCATGAGTACCAAAAATCTGGGAACAATATAGTTTAATGTAGGTGTGCTTATGAATAGGATCGATATCATGGAGATGTGATTAAAACTAGTTTTTAGGTGTAGCTAGCTAGGTGTAAATGTGCCGTATGAGTGCATTTAACACACAGTCAGTTGGCAAAACATTAAATATCATAATTACACAAGTTGGCTAACAATTTCAATAAAAATGCAGTAACATTACAAAATTATTTTGATGCCCATATTTTATTTTATTTTTCTATCAGATAACAGAACCACTCTAACCCCTAGTTATATATGCTGTCCGAACAGTGTGACCTTTCACACACATACACCATAAACATTGTTTGACATTAATAGTGCACCAATTTGCCTAAATATCTATTAAAATTCATACTACAATTCCTCTTAGCTTGGCCAACCTTGTAACAGTTGCCAAGAAAGAATGTATTTGTGGGCGGAGCATGAAGAGATCATTTGTTCAAGAATTTTTTTTTAAAAAGTCTAACAATTTATTTATATGTTTTGGTCACAAGTCTAAAGTGACTTTCTTAAAGGGGCTAAAACTAGAATTTAGTCAGTGTTCTCTTACTACAATACCCAGCATGCATTATGCAAATGCATCATACAGCCATTGGGAATCCCTGTGGTATCAACCAGTTCTGACTGCTAGCCTAGCCACCGATCTATAGGCTAATAAACAGAACCAAGCTAGCATTGCTGAGTTGCTGAGGTAAAAATTGTGAAGAAAACAACGATTCTGTCCTTATTTTAGGACGGTGTTTTAGGGCCACTGTTAAAAATAATAGTAGACTTTGAGAGTAAAGTCATAATATTTTGAGAATAAAGTCGTAATATTTTGAGAATAAAAACATAAAGTTACGAGAATAAACTTGTGATATTTCGAGGTTAAAGTTCTAACTGTAGGGGGCTTCCATAACCCGCTGGTGTTGCTGAACTGGCGACGGTGAAGACGCTGAGCGCGCCGGAGTTCTACACACTCATTGTCTCCTTGTGGATCAACATTTTGATCATCATTCTCATTGTCTGTGAAACTACACGCCCTCTTTGAATGGCACGGATTTGTGGGAACTGATAGCCATGTAGACGACCCTGACAGTTTCCTCCGAGTCCGTCAGGTTCTTAAACAGTTTCCTGCACATCCGTTTCAGCCATTTCTTATACTAATAACAGTCTGATGCTGATGTGCCAGGAGAGACAGGGAGGCAGGGTCGCTAGAGTGTAGTGGGTAACACTTCTGCCTTCTACGCTGTAGACTGGGGTTCAATCACCCATCTGGGCAGCACCCTACACTACACTAACAAAGGTCCTTGGGCAAGACTCCTAACACTACCTTCACCTACCTGTGTAAAGTATCAAATTGTAAGTCGCCAAATGCCGTGAATGAGACTGAGTATTTCGTTATGGGTGAAATCGATATGAAAGTATGACCCCACCAACTCCTCAACACCCCTCATTTTAACAGGAGGTGCTGCCTTCCTTTTGCAAACCCTTTGGCCACAATATTGTGACCTTTCACTAAACCTGAACCTGAACCTATTACTGCCACTTTAATATCATAATTGTACGATAAGATGATCAAAATATTAGAACTTTCTTCTCAAAACATTACAATTTTATTCTAAAAATGTTTTTTCTCAAAATATTATGACTTTATTCTCAAAATATTACAACTTTATTCTAAGAATATTGTACCGTACAACTTTTTTCTCAAAATATTACTTTATTCTCAGAATATTACTACTTTATTCACGAAATATCATTACATACGACTTTTTATCTCAAAATATTACTTTATTCTCAAAATATTACTACTTTATTCACGAAATATCATTACTTACGACTTTTTATCTCAAAATATTACGACTTTATGCTCGAAATCTACTATTTTTATTGTTATTAACACTGGCCCTAAAACATCATTGTATTATTCAGCACAAAATGGACCAGAGACAAATTTTAACCTTTTTAGCCAGGGAAATGAAGCTAAACTGACATCAGCTATCTAGATAGCCAGCTTCTTTGCTAACTTTAGCTTTTAGCTTGTTGTCTTCCTCTTCTGACAAGTCATTTCTGTCATTTGAGTAATCCATTCTCTTCATGTAATAATGATTTAAAGATACTTACTCCAGTTATATGCCTTATGGAACAGATTTGGCTTCATAGCAGTAATGCTAGCTAGCTGTGATTTCTTTTGCCAAAAAAAAAAAAATTCAAAACCATCACCAAAAATCCACCCCGAAGCAGTTGTAGTTTTTCAAAAGTTCCTCCATCCTTCAAGATGCATCATCAGAAGGAGGTTTTTCTAGTCTTCAAAATGGAAAATCTCACTCTGGAGACTAAAGCTAGCCTGTAGACTGTAAGTAAGCACATTTAAACAGATGGTTGAATGTTTCATTTTGGCTCGAGTGCCCCTTTAAGACTATGAATCTAGCCCCTCATCTGGAATCAGGTTTTTTTGCAACAAATATCACTATAAGCAGTGGAGCATCCAAATTATTCATTACAGCTCTTTTAAAACATTATAAGGAGGCCCCAGGCTGCATCTAAAAGGAAAAAAAGCCCTCTTTAATGTAGCTGGTGCTATCACACAAACACACACACGCACTTTCAGAAGCTATAGTGTACTATTGCTCGTCATAATCATGTTATGAACTACACTACAGAGACTCACTAACAGCCAGACAGACTGACTGAGTGGCACACATACACACACTCACTTTCGGTGTTTAACTGAAGGTGAACAGCACTCACAGACCCAGGGGGAATGCCAGTGAACGTGTAAGCTGCAGACTTAAAAAAGGAATGTGTTTTTTTTTTTTTAAATCCATGTAAACAAAGCTTAACTCACCTGTGTAAGTCACAGAGAAGAAGAGACATGGCATCTGTCCTTCACGAATTTTTACACCATATTAATATCATGATGTCCCTGTGCAAATAAACGCATTTCAAAACATGCTGCTGTCTCAGTATGGAGTCATGAAATAACTCAAGTTTTGGAGGCCACGCTTGAAGCTCCTCCTCCTTCCAACCTATCATTCCATCTCCTCCCTGTTCCTCAGTCCTAGCTCTCAGCGGCTGAAGAGGAATTACACTGCCTAATTAAATCATTCACATGTAAATAAAGTCACGGTGGTGATGATAGGAACCAAATGTCTGAAGTGTTTAAAAGGGTTCTTCTATTGTTACAAGCTTGACATCGCAGAACCCTTTTTGGTGCTATATAGAACCATAGACAACACATTCTCCATCAATCGGAAGAACCATTTCACCTTTTAAGCATACAAATGGTTGAGTGTTCATGGTTCTATATACAACCATTCTCTTTCCTAAAGAACCCTTGAAGAACCATCTTTTGTAAGAGTGTATACTATATATGTTTATATCAGGCATAACATTATGACCTGCTGTGTCTGATCCACTCAGACCAGCGCAACACACACTAACACACCACCACCACGTCAGTGTCACTGCAGTGCTGAGAATGATCCACCACCCAAATAGTACCTGCTCTGTGAGGGTCCATGGGGGTCCTGAGCACTGAAGAACAGGGTAAAAGGGGGCTAACAAAGTATGCAGAGAAACAGATGGACTACAGTCTGTAATTGTAGAACTACAAAGTGCACCTATATAGTAAGTGGAGCTGATAAAATGGACAATGAGCGTAGAAACAAGGAGGTGGTCATAATGTTATGTCTGATCGGTGTCTATATGTTTATATATGTACTTTCGAAAAGCGGATAATGGCAGAGAAGTACATGCAGGGTGTTGCAGAGCAAAACAGTATGCATAGAAAACCTTTTTTTCAGATTTACCATCTTTTTAAACATTTACCATCTTTAAAATAACTTTACCATCATCAGCAGCACATACAGACAGTCAAATCTGAGTCAATCATTTTTCTACAATGAAACATTTCACATCAAGCCCCTTTGAATGACTTTGTTTACATCTTAGTGATTTAATTATGCAGACATTTCAAAAAGCTCTCACCCTCCTACAGTCATACATTCTCTTCTCATACTACATAACCATATGTTGAAGGCCATAGTCAGAACTCACAAAAGTTTATTTAAGCTTTTGGCAATATAAACTTCAGACGACAGACAAATACAGATTTATGTAGAGAATGAAACAGATTCATATTAATATTTGCTGTACAAAAATCGAGCTTCCCTCAGCCACAGGGCACATAAGTAGGCAAGGGTTCTAAAAAATTCCAGCAACTTTTGGCACTATATTATGATGTGGACTTGTGCACAATAAGAAAGACAGTCAGAAGTTAATTAATACTTTTTACTTATACATGCCTTTAACTTTATTTATGACAGTATATGACTAAGAAACTGCTTCCGTTGGTATATATGTGTGCTCACGTGTGAACGTGTGTGTCTTAAAGAAGAGCAGGAGATGCAGAATCTAAAGCTCAGAACTTGTATAATATAGGAATATTTATAAGCATGAGCTCAGCTCTATGTAAAGTGCTGTGCCAAAGTCAGGGACCATCCCTAATTCATTTTATTCCCAGCCAAAATGGCCATTAAGTACAATTTATTCATTTTTCAGGAGATATTCCTAAGGAAATTAGACATACTTTGATCCACCTGGAAAGAAACAGGAAAGCCAAAGTAAAATAATGAAAAAAAACAGAAGTTTTCAAAGCTGGAGTTCAAAAGGTGATTAAAAGAGAAAACTGTCACCATCAGATAAACAGTACTCAAAGAGAGAGAGAGGAGAAATTCAAGCTCCACTCTTGCTTTAGAACTGAAAAGGTCAACAGCTGTTTCTGTCCATCCTTCCACTGTGAGAAGACAACTCAGCACTATGAGTCTGAAAGGATGTGTAGCTGTCAAGAAGAGATTGTAAGAGGCAGGAAAAGTAACCAACTTCTAAGACTGGACTTTGGAAAAATATCCCTTTTTTTTTTTAGCAAGTCTCCCAAAAAGAATAGCAGCAAAGGTGAATAAATACTCAAATATTTAATAAAATATTTAGTTGTGAAGGTTAAATATATATTTTCTGTTACTGAAAAATGAATAACAAAGTACTTAATGGCCGGTTTGACTGGAAATCGCTCAAATTAAGGGTGGTTTCTGATTTGCCCAGTACTGTATGATGCTGCATTGCTTTTTACAGTGTGTGTTAGAGCCACGGGCGGGGGTGTCTGATGCTGCTTGAGTACGTGTGTGGTAGGGGAGCCGCAGCAGGGGAGTTTTTCCACTGCAGGTAGGACAGCGTGGGGTTGAGTCTGAGAGGAGGGGTTCTCTTGCTCTTTTGTACAGAGGGAGGGGAAGGTCCTGGGAACAGCACAGGAGGAAACATGAGTGCTGCAGGATGCAGCACTTCCTGCCTGCCCTTAGGCGGGCCAGGGGGTGGAACTACAGGGGCGTGAGCTCGTCGGGTATTAGTGGAGGCTGCGCTAACGAACGACCGGGTCAGGCTTTTACAGGATGGGCTGGAATTCATAGCGGAGCTGGAGGTCAGGTTAGAACTGGAGATCAAGGCAGGGCTAGATGTCAGGGTAGAGCTGGAGGCCAGAGTAGCACTTAAGGTCAGGGTGGAGTAGGTGGTCAGGGTAGAGCCAGACATCAAGGCAGGGCTGGAGGTCAGTGTGGAGCTGGAGGACAGGGTGGAGCTGGAGGACGGGGTGGAGCTGGACATCAAGACAGGACAGGAGGCGGAGCCTAGGTTGAAGCTGATGGATTTGGGTTTGGCTTTTCCTGAGAGTGAGAGACAGTGAAGGAGAGAGGAAGAGATGGACAGACAGAAGGTGAGGGAGATTACGAGAGAAACAGAGATGGATAGATATGTTATACTATCATTTTAACAATGATGACTGCATTGTATTTATATACTGTTAATGGCTGGTTGGGAACCGCAGCTTTGAAAAAATAAAAAGCGGTTCTTTTATGGCATTGCTCATAGAACCCTCTGTGGCACGTATTCCCTATCGGCATTGATCTTATCCCAAGGGAATGCCTGTACTGCTCTATTTACTGTTTTCTGCACACCTGATTCAGCTCACAAAAGCTCTGCTCACAAGCTGATGACCTGAATCATGCATGTGGGTCTCTTGTCAGGTGTGTGTATGTGTGTTACCCCGTGGTGAGCACACTCCGTTTGTCCTGTCCTGTGCCAGTGTCGGAGCTGAGCTGCTTGCTTTTGTTTCGCGATTCAAAAACTCCTCCAGCCTTGATTGGCTGCTGAGTGAGGTGCGCGACCGTGTCTGGGCGGGGCGTCCCTGACTCGTGGTTCCTTTGCGGGTCTGCCGGCCACGTCCCTCCTTCCTGGTCGGCTGACCTGGGTGGATTCCATCCAGCAAGCCGGTGGCTGCGGCACGAGCAAGCACCTCCTGTGGGGTCCCTGTCACTTCGGGCTCAGGCTGTAAGTGATGACAGAAAAGAGGAGTAAGAGGCTTGAAAACCTTGAAAGACTTTCTCCAAGAAGGCTACCTACATGGGGACTTCATAACAAAAGCATCAGCATTGAGTAATGCATTTATAAAGCAGTACTTCATTAATATTTCTAAACAGCTTCTGCCTTTAATTGCAATATGACAAAAGCTGTTGTTTGAAGAAAATAACATTGTATTGACATGAGGGGCCCTAAACCAAAGTGATGGACTTGACCATTGATGAACAGGATAAAGGAAGAGAAATGGATCTGTAAGTACAATGTGGTGAACTACAAAGTGTACCTACAGGGTAAATAGACAATGTCTGCAGATACAAGGTAGGTGTACCTAATAAATCAGCACCGCTGGTGATAATGTCAAAGGCTCTCTTGCTCCTAAAATGCTCTGTCAGCTGTATTGATTACTACACGGGCATTTTATGCACTATTTGGCCAAAAGTGGTTGGACACCTGACCATCACACCTATATGAGCTTGTTGGACATCCCATTCCAAATAAATGTGGGCACTAACAATAAGTTGGCCACCACTTTGTGGCTATAGCAGGTGTTTAAAATCAAGCATATAGCCATGCAGTCCCAATTGATAAACAATGACAGTAGACCACAGTAGACCACGGTAGCGGTAGACTATGCGAATTTACAGAGTGGGGCCGCCGAGTGCAGAGTTCCAAACTGCCTCTGGAAGCAACATTAGCAGGAGCTATATGAAATGGGTTTCCATGGTTGAGCAGCTGCACACACCTAAGATCACTATGTGCAATGCCAAGTTTCAGCTGGAGTACTGTAAAGCATGCTCTTTTGACTGAATGGGCATAAATTCCCAAAGATACAATCCAAAATCTTGTGGAAAGACTTCCCAGAAGAGTGGAGGCTGTTATAGCCACAAAAGGTGGTCAACACCATATTAATGCCTATGCTTTTGGAAGTGGATGTCCAACATGCTCATTTAGGTGTGACTGTTAGGTGTCCACATACTTTTGACCATATAGTGTATGTGTACATGTTCTATGTTGGGCCACTTGCTGCCTCAGCAATGGTCTACCTGCTCACTCTGAATAATGCAAGCCCTTTTGGACAGTGTGTGTGTGATGCTAGAGGTCTTAAGGGGTTGCCCCACTGATGCTAACATACAAAGACAGTAGAGGCTGAATTATTCAATACATCTTTTCCTTCTACCCTCTCTCTCTCTCCACCCAGTGCCAGTGGCCACAAAATCACAGTCACTCATTCTGTTTGTCCTTCAGCTAATTGTGGCTAAAACACAAGGTCACAAACACCCACACACTGCCCCCTGTCATAGATACACAAATTTGCAGTCCCTAAACAAAGCTCTACACACTTTAAAAGCATCACAAAAAGCCCATTAACACAGTGACCTCCCATATCCCCAGGCTGTCGTGACTAAAGGTAAATGAATTCTCCAGTGATTTTTGATCTAATCTTGATCTGCAGCATCTGTAGCACAGTGCTGTAGGCAGAAATATTTTTTTGGGTAGGCCTTTGAGAAAGTGGGTAGGCCAGCATGGTAAATAGAATTTCCAAACACAGTAACCTCTTGCAATGTCATGACATCAGGCTATTGCCTATTCCTGACTGTCATACTGTCATCACATTACCTATTCCGCTCTATACAAAACAATAGCAATCAATCAGAATGCAGGATTCACATAAACACAACCAACACTGCAATGCCCTTCACTATAAAGCATGCATCCATTCACAACAGATGAAGATGACATAAGTGAGTTCAAATCAAACAGATGAGATGTAGAAAGACAAGGAAAACACAGCAAACTTAGAAAACCCTCAACCTAGGCAAAAGTGTATTGCCATGGTGGGCATAAAAAATATTTATGGTTCATTTGTGTTTTACCTTTGATGACTTAATGCACTGAAGAAACATTAGATGTTTAATTTGACCTTTTCCCAAAAAAAGCATTTGCAGTAAAAAGGTGATGACCTTTTCTAAATTTATCTTTGATGGGTAGAAAGTGACAAAATACACAACCCACTGGCTCAGTTTTGCTAAGACATCCTCTGATGAATGTACTGTCGTGCATGCATCACAGCACCAGCCGCACAATAGCAAGTAGTAGACAGGACAATGCACAGCTATACTACATAAAACTGCGGTCAGTGTGGGAACAAATGGGTCGCAAGGAAGCTTCTTTAATGCATGTACACGTTGTTTTCAGGAGCAGAGCTAAATGAAGCATGTTGTAGATCTGAAGTGGTAACCATGGCGTTTCGGTACAGCTGATGCTCTCAGAGCAATTCTGTTATCAGTGTGGCCTTTAACCAGTCATGTGCATTTGAAGTGCACTGTCTTGCAAACAATGAAGACACAGGGTCAATGCGTTCAAAGCTTCACGTAAGTTTTTTTCTGCAGTGACCTGCCATTTGAAAACTGTATGAAATACTCTAAATATGATCCTTTTTGCTGCCATGCCGCATCTAAAACAAGCTTGCATTAGTCTAAATAATCAACAGTGAGCACAGTACAGTGCTGGATAGCCTTCTAAACAGCTGACAACATAATTAAATAAGACGTGATGTCCAATGTAATATTAACAAAATGTGTAAATGTGTTCATAGTTGGAACACATTTATATGGAATATGGAATAAATAAGTGTCCTTATTCTATTCTTTCCTTATTCTCTTTTTTCTATCCCACAGTCTCACCAATTTAGGCCTAAGCATGTTTCAAGCTTTTATAATGGTATGCTGTTACATTTGTTGATTGAAAGACATTAAACTGAGTAAACGTTTAGCATGTCGTATTTCTTATTTCGCTTCGCACAGAATATGCTCCTCGCCATGCGGCATGGCACTGCATGGCAACTGCTGCTATCCTCCACTGCCTCAAGCCTTACGTTTGTCATCTGCATCCATCAGGTCCACAACTAGCATGAGGACTTTGAGGTCCTTGGTAGTTTCTGAAATCTTTTATAAGATTCAATTGATTCTGGAAGCTGGATCTCTATAACTCTGTATGAGTCAAGATTTCTATAAGCTGTGTGATGTGATCACCCTCATTTGTGAATCAAACTCTCATCCTCTCTATTTGAGCAGTACAGTTCAGTTTATTGGCCCCAGGTGCAGAGGGAGAGATGCATCATAAACCTCTTTACTGTCCCATATGTTACAGAGAGAGAGAGGGCGAGAGAGAGAGAGAGGGAAGGAGAGAGAGAGAGAGAGAGAGAGAGCGAGAAGGTGACAGGTAATATTTCCAACACACATCTAATTGCATTTTTATGGGGCCTTTTTAAGTGCGCCACAATAATCTTTATTAGTGTGCTTTATTGGAGGATGCGGGCGAGTGAGCGAGAGAGAGTGAGAGCGCCCATTAAACGGCCTTGATTATGTTGTCGTGTGTGTCAGTGAGGAATGAATATGATTGATGTGCACAATATAACAGAGGGGCACTCATCACACATAATCAACCCCAACCACATGGGAAAAAATACGTAATGCACACACATGCACGTGCAACATGTGAATCCACCGAGCACGAATGATGTCACTGTGAGAAAGTTTAAAGCCACAATCAAGCGTTTATCCAGCAATAACAGAAAGCCACGTACATGACTTTAAGGACTTATGGGTTCAGGTTTGATCGCTACTGCTCAAAGGCCTATTTCAGTCTGCTTGTCATTTGTGAGTGAGCCTTTTAGTGTTTTGCACATTTAAAACTCAAGACCTTTGAGCATTTAGTGGAATTATGCACAGTGTTCATGTTCTAGACGCATATCGCTTGAGTAGTAGTGCGAGTGAAGATTTAGGCACAATGCTAATAGGTGGCTGTATTCTTCCATTACTTGCTTGCAAAATTAGCTCCAGTGCAAAGCTATACATTTTTTTAAAAATGTAATGGTCAATGGTTGAAAAAAGGTTAAATGCATGTAAATAAATCATAAATATACAGTACTTTACCACTGCTAACACTACTTAATTTACAACAACAGAATGTAAATTCATAATAACAACCAATCAGTTTTATTTGCATTTAGTTTAATGGTTGTTACCTTTATTATTATGGTAAAATACTGTGTCAGAAGATCTAGTTGAACTAGTGAAACTTTTGATTTACAGTAAAAAGCAGATTTTTCTTCAAATCTTTACCATCAATAGCCACGTTTACGTGTAGCCTGATAACCCATTAATAATCTGACTAATAGCTCAATCGGAAAAAAATACATCCATGTACGTCCAAGACTAGTCCGACTGAGGTCATTCGGAATACAACTTCTATCCGATTGAACAAGGTGGATAACCCTGTAAATAATCAGTTAAACAGAAGAATAATACGATTTTATTTAGTATTTTATTTAACAAAATCAACATATATGGTTGAATGTTCGCATCCATTTTTAGACTTTTACTGTGTTCACACGTTTTCAGTAAATGAGTACTTTTTATTTATTCAGGCAAACCTGATATCCTATTGCTTTTAATGAAGCCACGGCTGACAATTCTGCCACAGCAAGTGGAAACGCATCATCTAGAGCTCAATTTCACAACTTTTGCTGTCGACCGCAGTGGTGGAACAAACCGGATGGTGTTTTTTTGGCAGCCATGGACGCCAAACTTCTCATTGAATTACATTTAGTATTATACAACATAAATAACATAGTGTCCTCCTGCCTTTTTTACCTTAAATAAACAGTCTACACTGCAAGATCTTCTCTGATAATCATTTATTTTGGGTGGCACCACGATTACCACGCCAACATTTCTGTGGCTTCATGCTGCCATCAGCCGTGTATCACTATAGGGTGTGGAATTACAATAAAGAAGGTATTGTAGAATAATATATGTTAAGTTATATATGAAATAAATGTATTAAACTATTTATTAAGAAAATAATGAATGCAAACATTGTGCGCTAAACCGTTTATGTAAGTATACTGACAGACTGACTTAATCCGGTCATGCTATTTTGAGTAGAGTTGAGAGAGAGAAGGAG